TGTATGTGTGTTTGTGTGTGTGTCTGTGTTTCAGTGGCAATGTCCAAAAATTTTTTTGCTGTAGTTGTGAATGGATTGAGCTTAGACTGCTAGATTTCTGTGATATTCATCTAAGTTTACGATATCATTAAAAAATGTAATCTTCAACAATGTTAATATTTTATCCTTAATTGTTGTTATCTTTTAATCCCTATTTTCTGAATCACATGATAGAGAATTGTATCTAATTCTAAATTAGCTAACAGTAGCTACAAGGTGAGTGTGATTTTGGTACATGTAGACTTTTAAAACATTTTAGAAGTGAATTTGGCTTATTTTATTCCTCTGTGAATATCATTAGTCCCTGCTAACCTGGTTGCATGAGCCCCCTATACAAGGGTACTTCAAAAAGTTCATGGAAAGATTAATATTATCTTTCAATTCTGTTTTTCCATGAACTTTTTGAAATACTGACATATTATATGAGCAGATACTTCAATAAAATGAACACATATAAAAAGAACAAACAGGATACTATGGCTAGACAATACCAAGAAACCAAACCCTAAGTAGTTTTAGTTTATATGTGGTAGCACAGGGATTCATCTTTCATAAAATTTGAAGAGCCATAAGATTCTTCCCAACTATAACGTGCTATACATTCAGATCAACAACAAGGCAGATTTTGAGGTGCAGTGCAAACAGGAACTGATAAGAGGAATCAAAGTTTTTGATATTTTATATTCATATATTTAGCAACCATTTATCTTCACATTATATATATTTGGAGTTCCATCATAGTATTTTTGAATAGTTGCTTAACATTTATGGCAGTGGCAGAACTGGTAAATTTAGGGAAATCCCAAGTCTTATGAATTCTGCTTTCTAAAAATTTTACCTTTATGAAATAACTGCACATTTCTTTATCCCTCTCTCATCTCTAGCCATTATTATCTTTTGCCCAGACTCCTGCAGTAGCCTATTGATTGATCCCCATCCTCTTACAGTCTGATTTCTCTAGTCAGGTCTTCACAACAACAGCAGGGTAGAGTTCTCAAAGGCAAACCTAATTCTGTCACTCTACTGCTTATAAACATGTCATAGCTTTCCGTTGCCTCTTGGATAAAATGTACGTTATTTAACAGGCTTACCTCTTGTGTATTCTCTGTGTCTTTCCAGCCACTTTTTCTTCTAATTCTTTGATCAAGCAATGTATCCCTTACTTTCTTTCCTTTACTTGTGATTCCTGATGCCTGCGCCCCATTCCATCTCCTCATTCCTTTTCTCTCCTCCAAACTCACCAGAGTGTAACTATTCGTCATTCTTCAAACTTCACCTGACCTCCATGACTGAATTAGGGCCCTATTATGTACTCCCATGGCAACATGTATTTTTCATCCATAAGAATCCTCATAATTTTCTGTTATTATTTAATGGTCTGTCTTCTAGTTAAAATTAGAATTTCTATGAGATCGGGTATGGTCCTATGTTTTGTGACCCTAGCAAATGCTTGCCTCATATTAAGTCATATTAGTTTTCTATGCTGTATCACAAATTACTTCAAATTTAGTGGATGAAAACAATACATACATTTATTATCTTATAGTTTCTGGGGCCAGGAGTCTGGGCACAGCTTAGCTGAGATCTCTGCAAGGCTGCATTCAAGGTATTAGCCAGGGCTGAGTTCTCACCTGGAGACTTGTCTGAGTAAGGATCTGCTTTCAGGCTCACACAGGTTGTTAGCAGAATTCATTCCTCAAGGCTGTAAAACTGAGGGCTCCAGCTGCTGGTTTGCTGTTGGCTGGAAGGTACCCACAGCTCCTTGCCTAGTAGACCAGCTAATCTGGCCACTTAATTCTTCAAAGCCATCAAGGGAGAGTCTCTACAGCATGTCTGCTAGCAAAACAGAGTCATATAATATACTGTAACCATCTGGCATCCCATCACAGTTGCCATATTCTGCTGGTTACAAGCAAGTTCCATATCCCTCCTGCACACAAGGGGTGGGGATTATACAAGGGCATGACCAGCAGGAGGCAAGGATCATGGGAGCCACTTTAACTTCTGTCCACCATGATAGGTGCTTGAAAATTTTTGTCGAGTGACTGAAAGTAAATCATAGATGATTTTAACTCTAATTCCAGGAACAGTTACAGAAAAAAAATCACCTTTTAAAAATGTATTCACTATCTTTTCTATAAAAATAAAATCTAAATATAAAGAAACCCTATGACCTAAAACACTAACAACTTTATAACTTAACTTTACACAGTTATAATTAATATTGCAGATTATATTTGGTTTTGCTTCTTTCATTTAACATCTGATTTTTCCAATATGTGTAATAATGTATTCATTGTATAAAAAGTAATATGGTTTTTCTATTTAGTTGGTATATTTTATTTTGAGGTGGTCTTTGGCAAGATATGTATGTAATAAAGCTATTAAACTGGAAAGAGAAAATTAAATCTATGAAATAAGATGTTTGTATCTATACTACATTCTACCCAAGGATGTAAAGGAATTTGCAAAACATATAAAATAGGAAGGGGGAGGAGAGTAAATGTGTTGACAATCAAGACTAATATAGTTATTGTAATGGATGATTAGATTTAGCTCTGACCAGTCTGGAAACCATAAAAAAAAATGGAATCATATCAATTCTTCAGGAAAATTTTATTTCTAATACTGAATTCTACCTGCAAATGTTTCTTAATGATCATTATATATAGAAATTGAACATTTTTAAGTAAAATGTCTTTAATTGGAAATGCAAAATACTTTGACTCAAAAATTCCCTCAACTATTTATCTTTAAGAAAGTGGCAAAGTATCACAGAAACATCTAACTTATAAATGTGTTTCTCTACAGAGCTAAACTAATGAAGTATACATATTTGGCTTTCTAGAGATTTAGTTGATGCAGGGCTAAAACTCAGACTACTTAGAGAATGAATTGCATATCTTTTATACCTAAGGTGACCATATAGTTTATCATTCAAAACAGAGTGCTTTTTAAAGGATGGGAGGGCAATATTAATAATTAGGCTGAGACACCTATAGGTATAACCACTGAGGCTTTCCTCAAGGCCCACGATTCAAATTTGATCAGTGCTTTTCATGTTGGATAAAGGGACAACTGTCCCCTGGGTGCAGTTTCTCTTTCATTTTCACTTTCTTTCTTACCCTTCCAATTCAGAGTCCAGACGCAAAACGTGGTAGGGCCATAAAGATGGGACATGTCTCAGCAAAATGCTTGGAGTCAGTGGCCTGGGAGCTTGGATTCTTGGGTGGGGACCCTTACCCCTGAGGTGCTGGGGATGGGCTCTGAGGGTCTCTCCCTGCTTTCTGCTTTTCTTTCCTCATGGCCAAGCCATGGCAGAGGAGGACATCTGGGTGTGTGGAGGTGCAAGAATACCGGGATGCAAGGACCCCTTCCTGCCAGGCAGAGATCATCCTATTTAAACCAATTAAACATATTTAAACCAGAGGTTTTTGATTACGAGCACATACGTATGTGTAAAACCATGAATACATATATATGCATTTATTTAACCTTAAAGATATCTTACGTAACCTTATTATACTTTATGTAACCTTAAAGATACAAATGTACACATACTGCCATGCTTATACTTGTAGAAACACATTCGTATAACCAAAATAAAAATTTCATGAAATAGTATTAATCGTTTTTTTTGTTTGTTTGTTTTGTTTTGTCCTTTTTTGTGACTGGGCTCAGCCAGTGAGCGCACCGGCCATCCCTATATAGGATCCGAACCCGCAGCAAGAGCGCCACTGCGCTCCCAGCGCTGTACTGTCCCTAGTGAGCCACAGGGTTGGCCCGAAATAGTATTAATCTTTAAACTCATGCTATATACACTGATTTCTAATCCTTTCTCTTTCCTTTCCAAAAGAATGCTGTTATGACTCCCTAAATGCGTGGTTTGAAAAAAAAAATTCTGCTTTAAACCATCTTTATCAAGTGCCAATTGCCAACCGACATTTTGACAGAAGTCCCCTGAAGCGTTCCCTGTGTGTAGCATAATGTATGGCACATGGTGGACGTTTACTATTTGTTACATGCACAAATACATTAGTGCATGATTATCTCTAGCTCTAAATTAAATTTTATTTGTGAAAGCCTAAAGCATAGCAATTCTCTGTCATTCATTAAAGGAAGATCTCAATGTTCCAGAAATCAGATGTATGGGTAGACATGCTAATATTCTTCCAATTTAGGAACGTGTTCTACATTCTAACCCTGAGGAAGGCCCTCATCTCCTTTTAGAATGTCCTCACACGGTACAACGGCATATATACATCTACCATCAATGGATTAGCTATCTGTCCATCATTTAGACATTTAGTTTGCTTCCAGGTTTTTTTTGTTTTTTGCTGTTGTTATTGTTTCTTTGTTTGTGTTGACAACAAATACAGAAATTGTTTTTTTCTTTATAACAGGTAAGTTTCCTTTTTCCTTCTAAATAACTTCCTTAATACCTTCCCAAGAGTGGAACAACTAAGTTCAACAGCCCGGCTAGTTTTAGCAAGTTGGTATGTTTTGCTAGAGTGCTCCCCAGAAAGAGTGAACTAATTTGGTATGCCATCAATACTATATAAATGTACTTACTGCCTGAAACCTGCCAATATTTGATTCAATAATTTTTAGATACTTACCATTTTATTAATTTAATAACTATTTTCAATTATTTAATTACACCATGTAGTATCTTTCCTAAGTATTTGTTTCATGGTCGCATTTCTTCCTTAGCTTTCAGTACGTATTCTTATCACAGTGGGACAAGAACTGGTAATTTTATAGTACTTCGGCTGGAAAGAAAAGTGCATATTTGACATCTCATTAAGACATTTTCTTTGGATCAGGCTTTGTTAGATCAAGGGCCAATAAATAGTGCTTAAATAAATCTTCTGTAAAATTATGCTGTGTATGAGTTATTGAGAATTATTTAGTTTCTTTTATTTTTTTTGAAATTCCTTTTTATTCTTATTTTTTTCTAGGCTCGGGAATTACAAGCTCGAGTACTAAAACGTGTTCAGATAGAACAGCCAGATGCAGTTCCCGCACAGAAACATTTAGCAGCTGAAATTTGTGCAGAGATTGCAAAACATTCTGTTGCTCAGCGAGACTATGAAAAAGCAATTAAGTTTTATAGAGAGGCTCTGGTTCATTGTGAAACAGATAATAAGGTCAGTACTTTTATAAAATTTTAAGCGCCTTTTATTCCAGATGTCATCCAATTTCCCCAAATGTAAAATTCTTACCAGCTTATTTCTAAAAAAGATGTGAAAAGAAATGTACCAAAAATATAAGTTAAAAAAAAAATACTGTTTTTAAAAAACTTTAAAAATATTTACATGATGCCTTAGATTAAGAATATTAGAGTTTAAAAATTATCATGGAACAAGTAATATAAAGCAAATTTGCAAGCTCTTTGTTCTTAATATTCATCTATGTTTTAATAATCACTTTAAAACAATTTCTCTATCACAAATAAACATCTGGACTGAGATGATTCAATTCGATTTACTGAAGAGCTATACTATACACCTCTGTATTTCATTTGCTGTCTTAGTCCTGGGAATGCAAGAATGACTAGACCAAATTTATGACCTCAAGTGGCACAGTGTGAGAATAGATGTAAAGATACTTTTGGTGTAGTAAGATATAATTATACACATATTTATATATGTTATTATACATATTATACATATATATGTAATTATATACAATTATAAACTAATATATGTACTTATAAACTTATGTAAACTTACATATGGACATAGCTAGTTATATAAACTGTCATTACTCCATGAAGATTTGAGATCTGGATAGATGATTAATTTTTTAAAAATACTCCAATAAATGGCTAAATACTTAAATTTATGCACTCAGAACAAAAGACAATCATATCCATACTCTAAAATGTAAAAGTTAAGGTTGAACAATTTTATTAATATAATTCTTTCAGATGTAAGGCAAAAACAACCTTTAGTAAGGCGCACAACTGAGTGGGTACCTTTTTCAGTGTTGGCTAATGGAGTTGAAATCCTAATTTGAAATCTGAAGCATACTTTAGAGATTGTCTGCTTGAAACTTTTTATTTTGCAAATGGGAAAGCAGTGTTAGAGAGGAAAAAAGGCACTTGAGTTGGCCCCATCATGGAGGAGATGGAATCAGAATCCCAGTGTTCTGATTTTAAGACCAGTGTTCTTTTCACAGTGCCTTATGCTGCTCTACTTTTCAAGTAAGTTACCACCTGTTTTTCTATTTTTTTCCAGTATAGGAGAAATAGAGATGGCATGCCTATAGTTTTCCTTGCCTATTATGCTTGGCATTTTTATTGCAATAACATCTGATTAACTAAACTTTAATCTGTGTTCAGACATTTTCTTCATTCACTTTTTATTCCAAAACTAGTAGTGACTAATCTTGCCTTTTGCTCTATAGATAATGTTGGAACTGGCACGATTATACCTGGCACAAGATGACCCTGATGCCTGCCTGCAGCACTGTGCACTACTTCTCCAGAGTGACCAGGATAATGAAGCTGCCACCATGGTTAGCCAAGAGACTTTAGTGGAATATTCAAATTTTACCCCATAGACCGAATATTAGATGGTAACACATGGCTCATGTTGGCTTTTGGAAGAAGTAACATATTTCTAACATTAGTACATTTTACTAATAAAGACCAAGAATCATTAATGTTTTATTTATAAGAATGATGATAAATTTTGGTCAGGCCTTTACTTGCCCTTTGGGGTCTAGTCAGTTTTGCTTTATGCCTAAGGGGATGCTCAGTCAGGTGAAGTGCATGTGGTAAAGCAGTAATTTGCTGAAAACTAACTTTCAGGTACTTACTTAGACATGCTGGACTAACTTAAGAGTTTCAGTGGAACTTTTCAAGTTACAGGGAAAAACTTCATGTATCATTTTAAGAGAGTCTGTTTAAATAGAATTTTGCTTTTCTTTCTCATTTTCATTTGCGTTGAAGTATTTATTAGCTTTTCAAACAGCTATATGGATGACATTTTGTGAGGTTCATTCAAAGTTATTATAAATAACTAAAAAGAAATAGAAGAAATTTCCCTTTTAAAACACATAATAAGGGCCGGCCCGGTGGTGCACTACTACAGCGCGCCGCTTGGGAGCGCAGCGGCGCTCCCGCTGAGGGTTCGGATCCCACATACAGACCTGCCGCTCACTGGCTGAGCGAGGTGCGGGCGCAACACCGAGGGTTGCAATCCCATTGCCGGTCCTGGTGCGGTACGGGCACAACACTGAGGGTTGCGATCCATTGCCGGTCACAAAAAAAGACAAAAAGGAAAAAAATAAAATAAAATAAAACACATAATAAGACAATCTCAGTAGATAGTGCTCATTTTAAATTCCTTTGAAATATTTATGATGTAAGGTTTTTGTTTTTTGTTTTTTGTTTTATTTCTTCTCATTGTCATTTTAGCCAAGTTCAGTGAGGCATCATTTCTACAATAGCAGGTGGACTGTGCAACGTCCTTTAAATTTCTGTTTTTAAGACAACAACTCAAAAAATATTTTTTGCTAAACACTTGAACAAAGCAATCTATTTCACATCCTTGATTATCTTAGGCTGGTCTCCAAGCCATTCCGCTCAAGGTTTACTTGAACTTTAAATGACTCCCTTTTATAAAACTGTGCCCCTCCTCACGTTTTTCATATGTATTTTAATATTGTTAAATCTTGATGAGAAGAATATGCTTTACAAAATATATGGCAGTATTTTTAGTACCAATGTTTATCTTTATAGATGATGGCTGATCTCATGTTCAGAAAACAGGACTATGAACAAGCGGTATTTCATTTACAACAGCTTTTAGAACGCAAACCAGGTAAATACCCACAGATTATATATTTTTAATGCAGTCAGTGCTGTTTCTCCTTCCTCCTGTTTTTAGCTGTTAGGCTCTTGGAAAACCTTGGTGGAGCATGACTCTGCTTATTCCACACTTGGGCTTGAGTAGCTGAAATGGCTGTAAGGAAAAGGTAACACTGTTGACTGGTCTCACTTTAAATTATGACCACAAACCTCAAGTGGGCCTTCAGGAGCTGCCTGGCAGTCCTCCCCTGTTTCTCTAATGAATTCACTCACTCCAATGACTTTTCACATTTACTCTTGTCTCCTCAAACCTCCAACACCCTTTCCCCCTTTCTTACCCTCAGCTAAAATCCTTGCCACCTGCTTCACTAAGAAAACACAAGAAACTGGAAGAGAACTTCTCTATCCCCTTTCACCGAAATCTATGCACCCCCCACCCAGCCTTTGTCCTCCCAGATCTGTGACCCCATCTGTTGCCAGTTTCTCCCTGTGAGCACTGGTACCACCCCTCACCTACCAAAGGGCTTTCCCTCTGCAGTTCTCTCTCTCTCGCATCATCATGGTTTTCCCAATCAGCATGCAGCCATCGCTGTGACATCTCCCCACTTGAAATCAATCAGTCAATTAAAACCAGCTCTTAACTGCCACCCCCTTTCAGTTATCGCTCCCTTCCTCTGTTCTTCTTTACAGCAAATTTCCCCCAAAGAATTTGGAAACAACGCTGGCTTCACTTTATACCCTCTACTCCTAAGCTCCAGAGAAGTCACTTCTGCCTGGTGGCCGGTGACCTCCGTGCTGCCAGTTCTCAGTTCTCTGCTTATTTGACTGGTCATCATGTGTGGCACAGTTTACCCCCCTCCATCATCGAAGACTTACTTCACTTTGTCTCCGAGATGGTAGACTCACTTGGTTTTTCTTCTCCCAGTTGTCCACTCTGTTTCAGTCTCCTTCATTAGAGCTCGCTTCTCTTTATGACCTTTAAATATCAGAACACTAGGCCTCAGTTCCCAAACCTCTTCTCTTTTCATATGTTCACTCCCTAGGTGGCTTCATCCAGGCCCATGGCTTTAAATCCCATGTATGTGCTGATGTGTCCCAAACATATGTCTCCAGCCCAGGCTCATCTCCACCTCTGCCTGTTTGCATTCCCACTCAGATGTCCTCAAACTTAACGTGTCCAAGTGGAACACTTGATCTTTCTCTTCTCTGTAAATGTACTCCACCTCCCATTCTCATCTCAGCAAACAGCGTCACCGCTCATTTCCTCATACCCCAAACCTCACAGTTAGCTTTGTCATGTCTCTCTCTCATACACCAGAGCCAGTTCGTCAGTAAATCCTTCTTAGTGCCAACTTCACAATATAATGAGAATCTCATCACTTTTTACCACCTCTACTGCTACTAGCCTGGTCTAAGCCACCATCATCTTTCACAGAGATATCACATCCTCATAACTCATCTCTTCTGTTCCATGCCTCCAACTAGTTTAGAAATGCTTTCAGCTGAAAGTAGCGCAGAACCCTCCCCCAACCAAAATTCTAGCCTAAATGTTGTCTTTCTGCTGAACACAGTGCCACATTGAATAGAATCAGAATCCTGATAGTAAAGAAGAAAAGGACAGTGGAAATTAGGGAAGTGACAGCCCAAGCAGATACTACCTTGAGACTTAAGTTGTTGTTCTCACTTCCTGGAATATGCTCCTCCCAAATTTTAATAAGGCTACTGCTTTGTTTTCATTCAGTTCTTTGCTCCAGTATTGCTTCTTCCTTAGAGAGCCCTTTCCCAGCTCTCCCATAGCAAAGAACACCTCTTATTGCTCTTTATCCTTTTATCCTGTTTTCTGTTTATCTGTTGGGTTTTGAGGGGATTGGTTTTTTGTTGTTGGTTTGTTTTTTGTCTAGCATTTGTGAAACAAAACAAAAGAAAAACTATAAATCCTAGAATGGAAGCATCAGGTGGCCAGGAACTTTGTCTCGACTACTGCATTCCCAGAATTTAGAACAGTATCTGATCAAGTTGGTACTCAGTAAATATTGGAGGGAAGGAAGAGTGTGGGGAGGAAGGGAAGGGAAGCAGGGAGGTAGGGAGAGGGAAGAGGAAAGGAAGGGGGACTTTTCAAACTAAACATGACTTTATGTTACTTAACTGTGTTAACTAAAGTTTGAAATGGCAGGGTAAGTCCTAGAGTAGTAATCACATAAGATTTCTGATTGCTGTGCTGTATGGACTTACTCTGAAAGATGCAGACAGAGTACTCCGAATAAAGAAAACCACCATTTTAATATGGGTGTGTTACGGGATTCAGGTCTGGCTGCCTGCCCCCTTGAGAAGGAAAGAAAAAAACCTCAGAAGTCAAGTGGTTGGTGTTAGAAAAGCAGATGTATTCAGCTGAAGGAGATAGTAGGCTATCCCATCTCAAAGATTTACATTTACTGAGGGGTTTTTAAAGGAAGAGTTGAGGGAATGGAATGTGGGAGGTGGAAAGCAGGAGAGCAGGAGATGTGAGTTACGAGGGGTCCATTTCTACGGGTCAGGTACAAGGTCTTGCCAAGGCCTCATCTGGTTTCTGTTCTCATCTTCGCTGTTATCTCAGGACCCTGCAAGATTTTGATTTGCGCCGTTGTACTTGGCTGGTGCCCAAGGTCAGCTTCAGTCATTTGGCCTTGATCACTTCTCAAAACTCTATAAGTCTCAAAGAAAGAACTATTAGCTTTGCAAAGTACTAATTAGCTTCTCGGCCTTGTTTTCCTACTTAGTGAGCAAGATAAGAAAGTCAGGGGATGGGAAGAAAGAGTGGAAAGAAAAAACCTGTCCTTTTTAAAGTCTTCCCCTCTCCATAGCCCAGGCAGGTTTAGGTCCCAACATGGCTTCAGTCCTGCTCACTCCAACAGGTAGATAACATGGTATCCTTTATACTGCTCAGCGGCTCCTATGGGAAACCCCCCTGATTCCCCAGGCAGTTAGGAATTCTGTGCTTTTTAATCCATAGGACTGCATTCCTCCCTTATCACATCATACTAATTGTTTTGGTGTCTTACCACTACCCATCAATAAAGGTGGACCAGCTAAGTATTTTCAGAGTGTAATACATTTAAGTTTTTAATGGATTTTATAAGTGTAGAAATTTGCCTTCTGTCATATTTCATGGTTAACCAAAAGACAAATAAATGTAATTCAATCTTTCAGTGATAACTATAACTTGAACTAATAACTAATACATTTTTCTAATATTGTAAGGTGAGAATTATTTAAGAAACTGGTCTCCCAATATTAACTTTAGATAATAGTGATATCATTTATCATACACATTAGCAGTATCATGCAAAAAATTTTGGCCCAGAAATTTTAACCTTTAGATTTGTGCTTAACCAATATAGCTTCCAGATTCTGTGGCTTTATTATGTGGTAGTCATCCTATTTCTTATTAAAACTTTTGGAAGTATAAATGTTCTATAACATATAGAGTTTATAAATTTGTTTCATGCCTTTATTTTATTTGATTTCCATAGCAATGAGGGTCAACATTATAATTGTATTTTAAGAAAATAAGTAATCTTAGACTCAGAGAATTTGAGTAATATACTTGAATTCACATAGCTGAAGGACAAGAACCATAGTCTTATCATGCTGTACTTTTTAGGAATTTCAAAAAGCAGGAAAAACAAAATCTGTAGACTCAAGATTATGTGTTCAAGGGAAGGCAAATATTGATATTGTCAACCTGGATTATTTTGAAATCATATAATATAGTAGATGCAAAGCCTCCAGGCGTTCTTTTTTTAAATAATATTTTTTATTGTTGTAAAACATGCACAACAAAATTTGTCCTCTTAACCAATTTTAAGTGTATAGTTCAGTGCCATTAAGTACATTCACATTGTCATGTAAGCCATCACCATTATCTATCTCTAGAACTGTCACTTTATGTTGCTTCACCCCCCACGGATTTGTCACCCCACTTCCCCTGGGTGACCAAGACGCTAAGGATTACTCAAAGCCCATCTCTTCTGAGCAGTGAGAGACCCCAAAGTGGTTAATCTTCCCGGGACCCTCCAGTGAGAGGCATCCCTTCCTTGGGAAATTAACCCCAAATTTGGGTTCTCTTCCTGCATTTATTTTCCAGACCGGGAAGTTACAGAAAGAGAACATAGGTGGGGTTATAGTTTAACCGTATAGGCTGGTAACTTTCAGTGAAACAAGCCAGATGACATTCCAGTAAGGCTATCAACAAAAGCTTGGTCTTAGCAAACATTCCTTCTTACAGCAATTTCTCAGTACCTTTACATATCAATCAGTAACTAATTTGTCCTTGAGCCAGCAACCTTGCTGTGCCACAAATCTTTATCTTATATCAGAGACTTCATAGCCTGAGGAAAATTTCCAGTCCTCTGTAAGGTCAATATTTGAAACTGCAAGGCTTTGGAAAACCAGGCCCTGTGAAGTACATTTGCTTTAAGAATATTCCACATAGAAGTATATCTCTGGAGAGATAAGGTTTATCATTCACAACTGTAAATCTGTACACCAACTCCTTATTTTCCCCTCCCTGTACCGACTGGCAACCACCATTCTATCTCTATGAATCTGGCTACTCTAGGTACTTCATGTGAGTGATATCACACAGCACTTGTCCTTTTGTGTCTGTCTTATTTCACTTAGTGCTGTATAATGTTTTCAGAGTTCATCCATATTGTAGTATATCAGAATTTTCTTTCTTTTTAAGACTGAACAATATTCCACTGTACGTATATACCACATTTGTTTATCCATTTGCCTGTTGATGGACACTTGACTTGTTTATACTTTTTGGCTCTTGTCAGTGATGCTGCTATGAACATTGGTATACAAATACCTGTTTGAGTTCCTGCTTTCAGTATTTTTGGGTTTATACCCAGAAGTGGTTGCTGGGTCATATGGTATCTTCTCTTTTCTTCGAAAATAGAATCAAGGATAAATTGCATTAAAATGGGGTTTTTTTGTTGTTGTGTGTATATTTTAATTCTAGGAATTCACCCTAAGAAAGTGATCAGCATAGCTTATATCAGGATTTTTAAAAATTCTCTGCTTTGAATCCTGTACTAACTAAAACTTGAGAGCCCAAACACCTAAAAATCACAACTATAGAGAAATGAATAAAATGTGAACCATTAATAAAATAGACTGTTATGTAGCCATTAAAATCATGTTTTTGAAAACCATTTAATGTAAGTTGGGAAATGTTTACTATATAATGTTGAATCAAAATCAAATTCCCAAGTGTGATTCCAATTTTGTATATATGTAAGCAAAGAATAATTTTGTATAAATGTAAATTTAAATATTTATGGGTTGGTGTTTACTTATAAATATATGAAAGGAAGCACACTAAAATGTGGTAATCTCTATCTGGTGGGAATATGAGTGATTTTTATCCTCTTTATACTTCTCTGCATTTTTTCTTTTTTCTAAAGTATCCATGCATTATTTTTACAGTCCTAAAAAATATTTATCAAATCACTCCCAAAGTTTAGTATGTTAGTAATAAGAAAGAACTGGATAGGTATGGGAGAAGAAGGCTTTGTAGGAACCTGCCAGGAAATTATACCTGAGACCAAAGAACTGGATTACTGTAATTCTTTTTCCTTAGATGAACATAAAATAGAACCAAAATACTGGGTCTAATATAAGGGTACTTTAAAAAGTTCATGGAAAGATTCGTATTATCTTTTAATTCTATTTTTCCATGAACTTTTTGAAGTAACCTCGTATGTTAGGGTTATACTATGACAAACTAGTATCTGGTGTGTTCGATTCATACACTTATTAAAGAAAGTCTGAAGTAATTTCTAATTGCCCACCCCAAACATTATTGTCAAAATATCATGTTCTCACCCCCTTCCCAGATATAGTAAGTGGGAAAGGGGGTCTCAAAGATAAACAGTGACTTGCCCTGTGCATTCAAATCAGTCCTTAATTTTATAGTTAATGAGTCTGGATTACCTAGGGAGATACTGTTTCTAGAAGGTTTTGGTGCCAGGTAAGCTACAACAAATGTGCATTTTCCTAGATTTGTCTGTTTGTAACCTTATCTCACTGTGAATAGTCCAGCCCAACCTTTATCATTCAATAGATCATCCAATTGGCCATATATCTCTTTAGGGACTTACAGCCCCTGAGGCATCCTTCACACATATTTAAATTGTAATTCACTTTAAGTAAATTATACTTTAACAAAGTAGGATCATAACCATCCACACAAAAGATATAAAGTGTTCTCCATACCTGAAGTATTATTTGTTTCTAGATAATTATATGACATTATCACGTTTGATTGATCTCCTAAGAAGATGTGGAAAACTTGAGGACGTTCCGAGATTTTTCTTAATGGCTGAGAAACGTAATTCCAGAGCAAAATTTGAGCCAGGATTTCAATACTGTAAAGGATTATATCTCTGGTAAATCTATTGGCAAATAAACCCTACAAGTAGTATTTTTTCTCATTGTAGATAAAGTAAACTTTTCTTTGTAGTCAACAATATCTACATTTTAAAATATCTTAGTAGTTTTATCTACCAGATTATAAACTAGTATAAATTTTGTTGTTAATGATTAAAATAAATACATTTTTTTTAACATCTAACAAGGTATACTGGAGAACCAAATGATGCCCTTCGACATTTTAATAAGGCTCGGAAAGACAGTGACTGGGGCCAAAATGCCCTTTATAATATGATAGAAATCTGTTTGAATCCAGATAATGAAACTATTGGAGGTGAAGTATTTGAAAACCTGGATGGAGACCTGGGGTGAGTAGTATTTGATTCATTAGCCTTTTTTCTAAAAAAAAACAAAAAAAAAACCACTTATCGGGGATAATAAGCAGTGATACCTTACAAGTGAGAACTAAGTTCTAGGATAGCAAAAATGAAAGGTCAGATGAATAAATCAGAGCTAAAATAACTATTTTCTGAAGCAGGCATGAAATGCTTTCAGGAGGTTTCCAAAATCAGAATAGACATGTTATGAAGACACTCCCCTAATTACTCTGTAGAAAATAAATTGTAGAATTTGACAATTATGGCAAAAATTGTCTATATAATAATAGTAACTGTTTAACAAATGGTAGTTATGTGCCACATCTGTGCTCTATACTTTATATACACAATCTCATTTACTCCCTACAGCAGTATTGTGAAATAAGCTCATGGTCAACTTGTTAATGTGATAGTTAATAATGACAGAGGCAAGGATGGAACCAAGTCTACCTGGCCTCAAAGCTCCTGTTGTTAGTCACTTTGACATGCTGCTGGTGAATGGTTATATTTCTCTCCACCTGCATTTGTTGCTTGTCCTCGCCTCAGAACTCGTCAAGGCATGGAGGTAAAGGGAATGTAAGAGGGAGTTTCTGCCTTTAGGATCGTGTACTTTACCTGGGAGGCAAGAACAATACCTCAAACCAATCTGCAACAACATAGAAATGGGTGTCAATGAATATGAAGTATTGTAGGAGTTCATAAAAGTCATACCAGTGCAAAGGACTCAGAGGAAGATGCATGGAGGAGTAGGAGAAAATTAGAACTAGATTGCTGAGAAGTTTCAGTTACAGATCCCATTCACCAGCAATAAACCACAGTGACTAACAACAGGAGCTTTGAAGCCAGGTAGAACTTGGTTTGGTTCTTGCCTCTATCATTATTAACTATCACATTAACAAGTCGACTGTGAGCTTATTTCACAATACTGTTGTAGGGAGTAAATGAGATAGTGCATGTAAGGTATAGAGTGCAGGTGTGGCATATAACTACCATTTGTTCAGTAGTTACTATTATTATAGAGACAATTTCTGCCATAGTTGTCAAATTCTACAATTTATCTTATTTTCTATGAAGAAATTAGGCTTGGATTACAGAGACCATTGGAAGTTTTAGAGCAGGGGAGTGGTGTGTTTATGTTTGTTTTAGAAAGGTTAAGGTAACACACTGTTATGCAGCTATAACTATCCAAGTGGAGATCTTCAGAAAGCAGTTGAAAATACAAAACTAGAACTCAGAAGGGAGGTGACAGGTGAAGATACAGATTTAGGAGACATCTGCACAAAGTGGATAGTTGGAACTCCATGAATGGCCTCTTTAGGAGTAGAATGTAGCAACAAGTCTGAGAACTAAATTTTGGGCATGCTAACATGAAGGGGTCTGGAGGAGGCTGGGAGGTCAGAAAAGGGCTATCAGTGTAGTAGAAAGAGAACTGAAGCTGTACAATGTTACAGAAGCCAAAAGAGAGGAGAAGGTAGCCAACGGTGTGACATGTTTTACGTAAGTTAAAAAGCCTGAGAAAAAGACCAATTTCCTTTACTAATTGCTATACATATATATGTTTGTATATATGTATATGTGTATGTATATAAAAATAGGAAAATTGCTATTAAATATTCAAGTTGGTATTGTACTTGAAATTTACAACCTTTTTATTTTTCTTTTGGCATCTAGTCAGTACAGGGATCACACCCTGGACCTTGGTGTTATTGGCACCACATTCTAACCAAGTGAGCTAATTGGCCAGTCCCAAATTTAGAACCTTGTGACACACACAATTTCTTTTCTGAGAGTCTGATAGGCAACATAGTGAGGAAAATAGAGTAGATTTCATACATCTGACAAACTTGAATTCAAATCCCAGGTTTACTATTTATTAGCTGTGTGAACTTTGATAAATTACTTCACTTGTTTGAGCCTAAATTTTTTCATATGTAAAATGGATTCAACATAGATTGAATGAAATAATACAATGCTTGGCCCTTTTCTGTCCTTGGTTTCTTCTTTTTTTGTTTGTTGTACCTTCCGAGTAGATAAACCATTTGAAAATTTTATGATTCTACTTCTATTCTAATTTTATATTAGCTGAAATGAACACATCTACCACACATAGATATATTCCTATTTTTGTCTTCATTCTAGAGTAAATGAATGTTTAATGGTATTTTACTGAGGCTATATTAATTTTGTTTAAAAAAATACATTATAACTATGCTTCACTTTGTATTAGAAGAGAATGACATTCTTCATAAAGGATTACTTTTAAATGAATGACAACAAAAGAAACCAGTGTACCCTAAAGCTCTGATTCTAATCTCATTGAACTTTATGCCATGTAATAGACATAATTGATTTATTTTTAATTGTATACAGTAATTCAACTGAGAAGCAAGAGTCTGTGCAATTAGCAGTGAGAACAGCAGAAAAACTCCTTAAAGAACTAAAACCTCAGACTATTCAGGGTCACATACAGCTTCGCATAATGGAAAACTATTGCCTAATGGCTACCAAACAGAAATCTACTGTTGAGCAAGCATTGAATACCTTCACTGAAATAGCAACATCTGAGGTTAGTAGATTTTCTTTTTCAACTTTGTTGTTACCTTTCCTCGGTAGCATAGAAATATGTATTTTGTGAAGACTGACTTAATTACTTTTTAAAAAAATTAGATACACAGTTTGGCGTAATTTTATAAAATGAACCTTTGTTTCCAGAGGAGACACTGTTACTGTTTTGATCTGTTGTCAACATGTTTATCTCTTCTGGAATGGTGAATTCTAGAGAAATGGTATTTTTCAAAAAGGGCATAAATTAATTTTTTTTTTTTTTTTTTTTTTCCTTTTTGTCTTTTTTTTTGTGACCGGCAACGGGATCGCAACCCTCGGTGTTGCGCCCGTGCCTCGCTCAGCCAGTGAGCCGCCGGTCTGTATGTGGGATCCGAACCCTCGGCGGGAGCGCCACTGCGCTCCCAAGCGGTGCACTGTAGCAGTGCGCCACCAGGCCGGCCACGCATAAATTAATTCTTAAGGAAATGACTTTATCCTATGGAGAATTTCTATGTTGAAGATGTAGCCTAGGTTAACATGCTAAGTGAAAACAAACACCTGGATGCCTTAATAGCTTACTTTTCACCCTTGTGAACCTAGAGTTTTTTCTAGGGCTAAATAAGGTCTATACTGACAACTTACAATTCAGTCATGAAGATAATGATGGTATTCTTTAGCAACACTGAAATAAATCCCTGCAATCTTTTTATTATTATTTTATTATTATTATTCCAACAGGATCAAAAACTTTCTTCTCTACTTACCCCATTCAAATCTACTTCCTTCCTCAGTCTTTGTGTGTTCTATTTTTCCTTCCCTCACACAGCACTCTATTTCTTCAAATGCTTGATAGTAAGAAAGGAATTTTAGGTACCCACCCCATTAACAGGTAGTTCTAAGCATACTTATTGGATTTCATGTTCATTCTTCCACTCAACAATGCTGTAAGCCACCAAAAACTCATAATTTTGTGTGTCTCAGAGGAAATACAGAACTTTGCTGTTTTCCTGTGGTTCAGAGGTCACAGTGATAGTAGTAAACTACCCCATACCCTCTATGGTGACCCTTCTCCCTCGATCTTTCAGAACCTTGGAGGAGAGTTAGATGTCAAGAGTTTGGGAGACTTACAACTCTTATGTGGTTTGGGTACAAGTATCCTACATGGTAGCTTTGTTACCACCGTAGGCCACCCTTGGAACACAACAGCAAGGTTACATCAGCTGCAGTAACCCCCTAAGGCAGAGCCCTTCTGTGCACATTGCAGTAATATTCTCAAGGGTCATGATCTGATGAGTTGGTTTTGTGCAACAGATGGATGGCAGCCGCTGGATGAAGGGAGAGCAGAAATAGGACAATCATGTAAGTCTAAGAAAATCTGTAAAAATATGATGAAGCACAATTCAAGCAAGGTGTCATAGCTACTGAATGTTGTGAAATGGTGTTCTATCATGTAACAATGAGAGTTTGTTTTGAGTAAATCCATTATTCCTACTGTGAGGTTTAAGAGAGAGAAAAGCCAAAAGCAGTGAATGCCATTACAGCTATTTCCTAGAAAGACTTGCCAGTTTCTGTGTTGATGAGAGTACATTATATTTTATCATCTTTACATATGTGATCAGTAATATACTACCCTCAAATCTGCTTACTGACCGTATTATCTAAATGATAATGATGTATGAGCTGAAGTTTCATAAACACTGAATTTTATCTCACATTTTTTTTCTTTTAACTCATAGGCTACGTATATTCAATATTAATGACTAATCACTAAGCACCCAGTGGGTGCTAAGCACAGTGGTAATCACAAAGATAAATACTGTATTTATCAAACTTTTTTCAAGTTTCTCATAGTCTACAGAAGATAAGACAAGCACACTGACTACTACAATGACTGTAATACAAAGCAAAATATCCTAGAGTTGCAACTAAAAGTGCTGTAGGAGAAAGTTGGGGGACCCTTTTGTGAAGAAGGTATGATTTAAGAAGATCCAGAATAAATTGCTTTTTCATAGGCAGAGATAGAGAAAGTATATTCTAGGTGAAGGGAAAAATATGAGCAACAGCAGGGAGGCAGAAGAGCATGAAGTATATTCACAACCCTGTGTTCACAGACAACACTGTGTGTCATTCAGAGGGGTTGAGAAAGGTGGTATGTGACAGGACGTCACGGAGGACATGGTGGAAGATACATGGAGCCCAAGCTAAAGTCTCCACTTGCTTTCGTAGCATCACCCTGATCCATAAAATTGTGATGTTCGTAATATAGCTATATTGTCTGCATCTGAATCTTGTCCTTTGCCGTCTAAAGTTGTTGCCATTTAGACTGACTGAGAGTGAGAGAAAGAAGCTGACTGAAGTTCTTAGGATGTCTACACCAGAAAAAGACATCATAGCCCAACAGAGCTGGGATTAGAACTCAGGCTTGCAGTTTTAGAAACTATTCTCCATTTCACTGAGGAGAGATCAAGCTGTGACGAACTGATTCATACTAATCAGACTCGCGGTGTGTAGTTTTAAATCAGAGAGCTTATTTATAAGCGTGTAGTGTGGGATGTTCTCGTGCACGTGAGTAGGTGTGGAATGTTTATACAGGACCTCTATCTTCCTTGGCCGTCCTAGGAGCTGGCTGACAAACACAGAGCAGGCATCTATCTTCTCTCCTCTCCTGTCCCACCTGGGGAGGGGGATTGGAGGGGGAGCCCAATAATTGATAGCATCGCATACATGTCTTCAAAATCTACTACCAGTTGGTTGGATTTTACACCCAAATGGAACCCTTTTGCCATTCATTACCTAGGGGAACTAATTACATATCCGAAGTTTGTTGGTAGACATAGAATTAAAGCCAAGGAAGTTTCATATTCCTAAAAGCTGTTTTCATCAAGCCCTAATGAGTTGCCCTTCTCTAATCCAGCATACTTTCTGACTTCCAACCACAAACAGTGTTGGACATTAAACATTTTACTACTCTACTCTGCTTTTGCGATACTCCTTATTAGTTACCCAAGTTTGCTATCTTACAGTGAACTATTTTTGTAGTCATGATATTGCAATTTCTAAGTCACAGTTTCTCACTCTTTATTTGTATTTTAAGCTGAGGTCTTCCTCTTTTTAAAAGTGTCAGTCCCTCTTTTGAAATTTAAGAAGTACCCTAGCTTAGTCAAGGGCATACACATTATTGCTTATGTAAGTTAGTTTCTGGATATATCACTAATGGCCTCCATTTCATACCAATTGTATTAGCTTGTTGGTTTCACGGAGTGACATTTTCTGACTTTGAACTCTATCTAAAAGAATATCGTGCTTTATAGACTCTATGTGGAAGCTTCAGCCTCTAAATCCAAAAGCATATTTTATGGCATGAGTTTATTTCATATAATTTCCAAATGATTAACTACATGCCTTATTTATGACATTTCATTGGTCAAACTTCATTGAGAGAAAAGGTTTTTGAAAAAAATGAGAAAGAAGGAAAAAAGAATAATAGAAGTCAATATGGATAAGGACTATCATTTGGTAAATCATTCTGTTATTCCTGTTTGACAGGTGAAAGAACTAAGGAGACAAAATGTTAAATCTGAAATACAAACTGCTAAATAAGGATTAGCCTGAAATAGAATTTTATTTATTGTGTTTCCATACAAAACTAGAACAGCTAGTTAATCCCATTAAAGATGGAGTCATGCTGTTAGAATTGTGTGGTTATGACAAATGCATAGTTATTGAATTAGCTTGACTATACAGTGCCTGACCAAGTTTCTTCACGGTACCTTGGGGTTGACTGATGTGTTAAATAATGAGCACAGTCACAGTTATCTGTGATGAAGTGAGAAACAATCCACAGACCAGTTCTTATATTATGTAGCATTTGCTGCTTCCCACGTGTTTTTCTTTTAAACAGAGGACACTTCTGTTTGTGTACCTGGTGGCCTGAAGTTTTGTTTTTTTGCAGAAGGATCATGTTCCAGCACTTTTGGGAATGGCAACAGCGTATATGATCTTGAAACAGACTCCAAGAGCCAGAAACCAGCTGAAGCGGATTGCAAAAATGAATTGGAATCCTATAGATGCTGAGGAGTTTGAGAAGAGTTGGCTGCTACTTGCCGATATTTATATTCAATCTGCAAAATATGACATTGCAGAGGAACTATTAAAACGGTGCCTACGTCATAATAGAGTAGGTGATTGAAGAGTGAAAAATAATTGTTAATCTTTGTTGCATAAGCTTTCCATAATAGGTTATTTAAGTGTTGGTCCGTTTCAAAGAATTCCTGTGTGTCCTATAAAAATTAATGTTTATTCTTACCAAAATCAGTCAAGAAACATTAATAATAAGAAAGAAGCCATTTGCCCTTGAAAGTAAAAAGAGATTTATGCAATTTCAAGTTTCAGCTGTGGTGATGCCCTACTTACAGAAAGTGTTTTCTGAATGTCAAGCGTTTGCCTGTGATTATCCTTCTTATCCCAGAATTAATGAAAATTGCAGAAGAACATTAATTGCGGACTTCTGTCCCTCCTGTCAAGAAATGCTCTTGATGAATTTACTGCAGCTGCGTGTCCTTTCCTCATTAGAATTTGCTATGCATAATATATTTTGTGGAGGAAAGTCTTTTTAATTTTTAATTTGTTTAATAAAAAGTTCTTATCTTTAGGTATAAAACTGAAAATCTTAAAGTCCTTAGAATTTAAGGCTTTTTACTAACATTTGAGTGTTTAATTATAAAAAAGACGTTGCATTATAACAGTTTTCTCAAGTTAAGATTTATGTTATTTGTTGAAAAATAATTGTTTTCGACTTAGAAACTTGAGGATATTTATCTTCACAGATCCATATCAATTACTTCAAAATCTTAGTCACAGTAAATTGTTTTATGATTATTGTCTTCGAGAAAATTTAGATTACAAAATGGGTCATTTATTTTTTAAAGAGGAATTATGATTATCTAGTACAATTAAGATACTTTCTTAGGAACTTAAAAACCTAAAACATCCACCCACTTATCAATTTATAGAGTATTCTAAATTGATCAGTTATATCGATTTTAAGTTAAATTGGCCTTGAAAAACAGAATAATCATTAATAGGATTTGAAGATCTAAACTGCTGAGTAGTTGACCCTTATATGCCTAGTGTAGGATTATGCAAGATTACTTGGGAATTCAGGTTTTGATGCAGACAGCATTTCAGTTTCCCTGAACACTGAGAGCAATACATTGCACGGTAGAACAATGACAGCTACTTTAGAGACTTTGTTTGGCCCTGCTGGTTAGGCATGTTCACATTGGAAGCATGAGATTCAGGAGCTAAAGCTTAGGAGCCTTGAATTATATAATTAAAAAATGGAAATCATCCAGATCTGGGGCAGGAAATGTACAAGATGACACCAGACCATCTTGTTATACCAGATGGCAAGGAAGCTATCAAGGATGATTAAAGTCAAGGACTTAGGAGCCAACTTGAAGACACTCCCAGGAGCCAATGTTGGGACACTTTAAGTATCAATAAGAATGATCCTGCAGTAGATTGAAACATTAAATATGTTTAATCCATGACTTCACAAAGATTCAAAAAAGAAAAAAAAAACTTCATCCGTCACCACTGCAGTTTGCATTACTATTATTTCTAAAGCTGGCAAATAAAGGAAAAGAATGAAGCATTTATCCTTCCTTTTCTATACAAACTATAATATTGGGTAACCAAATACTAGATAAGATGTTTGTCATTACAGACATTTTCTAGATAATAAATGAAGAAAGACTAATAGAATATCACCATTTTTCAACCCTGATGAATTTATGAATGGGTATAACATCACAAAAAGAGGGAGAATAAGACATTCTGTGCCTCCTGATGGGAGAACATAACACACCATCTATGACAGGACAGGAGCTGGGGGCAGACAAGTGAAACACTCAATAATCAAGAAAAATAATAATTTAATGCAGTAATTATTTTTAAAATTAAATGAAAAAATCAAAACATCAAAATGTTAAATAGGCAGGATCTGACTATGCTGTGCCAGCCATGTTGGAGCCAGAATGAAAAGGGAAAATATGCATCCCTGTATTTGTGTTTTTATGTATATTTTTAATGGGTAATGGTTTTAATGAAAATATTATTGATGAATTTTTTTCCATTAAGGTGAAGAAAGTAAAATTATAATAAGTTTGGCTTAGATGTAAATAAGATATTCAAACTTAAAGTAATGTTGTAAGTTTTATATACCTACTTTTCAGTTCTTCAGTATTTTTAACTAATATTCTGGAAGAAAATTTCAGTTAAAAAAATATAAAAACATGTATGTAGGGTTGTGCATTTTTTCTTTTGCCTCAGGCTCCATTATGGCTTGTCATAGCACTGATATATGAAGTAGATTCACCTTCTCACCCCAAATCAAAATCAAACCCAAACTTCTAGACCTAATTACAATTTCCAGGAAATATCAGTGATATAGGCATATTTTATATAAACAACAGAAAATGATATTGAGACAATTTGAAATTTGAATAACGACTGGATATTTGGTGATATTAACGAGTTGTTACATTTTAGGTGTGATAAATTGTGATTATGTTTAAAGAAAGTTCTTATCTTTTAGAGAGGTATACTGACATATTTATGGATAAAATGATACAACATCTGAGGATTTTTTTTCTGATAATATGGAAGGACAAGTGTGTGGGGTGGAGGTGAAACAGTATTAGACATGAGTTACTTGTTGAAGATAAGTTATGGTTTCATGGAGTTTATCATACTGTTATCTCTGTATTTGTTTTGAAATTATTTATAGTGTACATGTGTATACATAAAATACACATGTTCTGATATGTATTTATGAATCTGTAAAAGAAATAAACCCTGATTCTGTGGGTTTGGGATGGAGACTTGGCATTAGAATCATTTAAGTTCTGTAAATAATTTTATTGCATAGCCAAGATTGAAAGCCATTGTTTATGTGCCATTTAAATGGGTTACTATGATTGATCTCTAGTCATAAACATCCTATAAAATCTTAGTGGTATCAAGTTTAGTCTATTGATACATCTTCCATTTTTCTTTAGTCTTGCTGCAAAGCTTATGAATATATGGGATATATTATGGAAAAAGAGCAAGCATATACAGATGCTGCCTTAAACTATGAGATGGCATGGAAACATGGCAATCAGACAAATCCAGCAATAGGTGAGTTTAGCAAATTAAACACTAGGTTTTTGCAAGAAACTTATGTTTTATTTGCAAATCTTTATTTGAATGCATTTGTTTCTTTTCAGAGCAAAATATACATTAAGTGCCAACTTCCATTGTCAATCTTTCTGAAAAGATAATAAATTATATATTCATAATACTATAAATAATTAGCTACTAATAGTTAAGTATAACTTCCTGAGGTCCAAACTTACCCTCAGTCACCTCAGAGAACATCTAGTCTAATCCTGCCCCTTTCTCTCTCTCCAGCCCTCTGCTTTTTCAAAAATGGTAACGCTGTGGGGAAAAATGTTCCATTGTTAGTTACATTAGGAAAACTTTGCATTAAATCAAGTTATCCAGGTTTCTTTACTACAGAATTTCTCAAAGCCTTTAACCACTAATGTGTATTGTGATGGGTATTACAAGGGTCCGTGTTTCCCACAATTATTTGACCATGGGACGTGATTTTCTTTCTCTTGATCATCTAGAAACATCATACAGTTCCAGTGTTTTGTAGACTGTTAGTTTGAGGAATGCTGATCTACAGCATGCCTGACAGATAGGTGGCATCTGAAGTAGACCTAGTGACTAACCTCGCCCCTCATTGTGAGGACCTCGTCTCCATGCTCTTCTTCTCTTTCTTTATACTGAGCTGAAATATGCTGCATTGACACCGCCCAGGTCTGTTCTCTGGAGCAACCCACAGAGCCCTTTCCCTCTTACAGATAACGGCCCTCTGATTTCAAATCCCTGTTATGTCTCTCCTAAGCTTCTCTTCTTACTGTGCTCCATAACTTGTCCATTCTTCTTAAGACTTGGATTCCAGTCTTTCACCCTTCTTGCTGCTGTCTCCTGAAAGCTCTAAAATAGTGTTTCCCACAGTGTGCTTTGGGACACTTGGTGAAATTTTAATAGTTATTTATTAAATTTAATAAAGGGGGGGCGTGTTGAGCATGAAAGGGTTGGACTCCTTGGCCAAACAAGTTTGGAAAATGCTGTTGCATTTGCTCGTGTCCTTTCTGGTCCGTTGTGCCATAAATGAATAAGTTCTCACGTATGATTTGGCTAATTGTAGGTATATTGGATGTAATTTTTTTCTTTTGATCAGGCATTTTCTATTTGTTAATTCAGCCTCAGATGACTTCAGTCTTTTTAGCAGCTGTATCACACCATGGACAGCCAGATGGGTCATCTCCATAGCCACTGCCATCAGTTCAGATCCTCCTTCACCTTGTATTACTCTGAGTTCTGTTATTTTACTAGACTTGTATAAAGCGCAGAAACTAATGATTGTTGTAGTAATTTACATTCTCAGACATTAAACCTCATACAGAATAAAGTCAGGTTGTAGAAATGAAAATTCCTTAAATATCCTAAAAATATATATAATTTTGACACTTTATTTCACAGGGAGAATGCATTTAGCAGTTAAATTGTGTACATATTCTGTTACTTGGGAGACTTCAACATATACCTCAGAAACATTGCAGGTTTGGTTCCAGACCATCACAACAAAGCGACTATTGCAATAAAACAATTGTCACAATAAAGCAAATATCACAATAAAGCAAGTCACACAAACATTTTGATTTCCCAGTGCATATAAAAGTTATGTTTACACTATACTGTGGTCTATTAAGTGTGCATAGCAATGTCTAAAAAAGAAGTGTACATACCTTAATTAAAAAATACTTTATTGCTAACAAATGTTGGAAAAATGGTGCTGATAGACTTGCTTGATACAGGGTTGCCACAAACCTTCAGTTTTTTAAAAATGTGGTATCTACAAAGTGCAATAAAGCAAAGCACAATAAAACAAGGTGTACCTGGGGGCCGGCCCGGTGGCGCACTGGAGAGTGTGCCGCTTGGGAGCACGGTGGCGCTCCCGCCGAGGGTTCGGATCCCATGTGGAGACCGGTTCCCGCTCACTGGCT